ACAAATAAAGATTGAATGGAATAGAAGAACAAGAGGACTGATCCACGGGAAGTTATGGTGTATATTCTGAATTCTTGGGAGTTGATCCGCATTCTAGGCACACGCCTGTGCACGTTCCGCGCGTTGACGTGCTTGGTTCAGCGTGCGGAACGATCCGCAGCAATCCGCACTGATCCGCATTCTAGTAACGCCCCATACAGACAGACAGACAGAGGGACAGACGGGGCGTGACTGAGAGTCTAGCTAGAGTGGGGCGAGCTCAGGCTCGCCCCAATTAATTTGTGTATGACATATTAATTGACTTGATACCTGGTTAATAAACACAATAACTAACTCACAGTTTTATAGTCTGCACACTGTGTTTTATGTAACACAAAGATCACATAATAAAATTAATAATACACAATATATTAATAGACAAGTATACACAACTGAGTCTGTTATTATATCATGTGAGTCCTCAATTAAGAACTTACTAAGTGTCTGCATGTACACACATACAAATACACATACTAATGACACACTAACACACATACATGTACATCTATACATGCATACACATATAAAGCTACATGTAAAGCATGCATAATTGCTCACACACATACACACACATGTACATGTTACATGTACACATGATGTACGTGTTAGTACACACATACACATATTAAAACATATGCACACATACACACAAATACATGTATGTACATACACAATCTACACAATGTATATAAAATACAATTTATTTTAATTCCAGCATTGACACTCTATAAATTGTGAATCCATCTTTACACACACAAACACACACACACATATACTGAATACCAGCATTATTCATCAGTAATTTTCACTGAGTATCATAATATGTACATGTACATTACAAACCTCATGAGTTACAAATTTAGTTAATCACTTTATGTTTCATTATCAAGCATCATAATATAATACTTACCAGTTCTTTCCATTTTCTTTTGTTAATGTCCAGTAACCATACATCATAGACATAATATCCACCCACCACTAGTAAGTGTGGTCCTGAACTAGTGGTAATCAGTACACTGGAATGACCCCATCTTTCCTTTGGCCATAGTACTGATCCTCCAGGATTAGGTACTTCTAATATATCCTGAGAGAATAATAAATTAAATTTTAATTGTAAATCCACAATTTGCAATCAAATAAATTTCACAATCAAAACCCATCCTACAGTATTAACTCACTACTGATGTCTTAGTGAAACTTATCATATACAGTTTATTACTCCTTCCATTATCAGTATAGCCTCCGAACATTACCGCAGTGTTATTAGTAACTGGTGTTAGAGTGAAGGAACTAATAGGAGGTGGTCTGTCTCCAGTAACAACAGGAGATATCCATTGATCTAATAATAATGTACAAACATTCATGTACACTTACTTACCACATACACACACATACATTATACACATTCATCATACATATGTATGTGTATATGTGTGTACATTATTATTTATACATACACATCATGCATAGACACACATCACTATCACATGATACACACACACACACACACACACTCATGTATGGATACACACACCATCACACACACCACACCTGTACACATGAAGGAGAGGTCCAGGGGGTCTCCTTATTTCAAGATTACTAATCTATTCTGGTACATGTCAGTTATGATTGTTAATGAATAATTATACAAAACTCATGGAACATTGTATGTGGGTAATTTGTGACTCGTGTGATACAGAACTTTATTAAAAACGATAATAAATAACATGAATCTACACACACACACACTCATGTCACATTAGCTTATGTATAGATACATGTACATATACAAACATCACACACACATAACATGCACATTATAGATACACGTCACATACACACGTCATACATTCATAAATTCTCACATACATTATATGCACTATCATACACAGACACATCATAATGTATGTATTAGTACACACACACACGTCACATATAGACACACGTCACCATCACACACAAACACATGACACACACAGACACACGACACACAGAGACACACATACAAACACACTTAATTATTAACAATCTGTTTTATGTACATTAATATAAATTATTCAGTTTGAAATACTCATCAACTATTGTGTATCAATAATGAGAATTACTGACCTGATGAAATCCTGTAATAATGTATCTCATTACATCTACCACTAGCTGAATACTGAGCATCAGGTTGCTTTGGAGTAGAAGATGATGTATGGCCTCCTATTATTACGAGATAGTCTTCAATGTCAAAATGAACTGATATTATTCCGCAGTAGCCCTTCTTCATTGGACCATGATCAGAATTAGAAGGAGTGAGTTCCCTCCACTTGAATGAATCCACATTGAAACAATGTAAGCTGTTTTGATAACCACGACCATCACTTCCACCGAAATAATATATGTCCTTTCCTATGGCGATGGATGAGTAAGCCCAGATACCTGGTGGTGGGGTACCAGTAGTAGGTTTCTGGTCCCAAGCACCACTTGGTAAGTGATACACCTCCATCACATCATAGCCTACTCCATACCCGTCCCCACCCCACATATATAGGTAGTCTCCTACCTTTACTGTGGAGTGTCCATATCTCTTCACTGGTTGATAGTCTATAGAGAACAAGAGGTACCAGTAACAGAGTAACAGTAATATAGTGATGAGTTAGAATAAGGACAGGATACAGAGGAGTAAAGTAAGTGAGAGAGTAAGAGAGACAAAGAATGAATGAAAGAGATACAAAGAGAAGAGATAGTGGCCCTCACTTTTAGATGCCATTCTTCCAAAATACCAGCCCCACCCAAACTATGCAACATAAGACCACACCCATTTATCCAAAATTCATAAAAATGAGTTCCAGTCGTTGTGCCAGTAGAAAATCTCCTGCTGGTTCTACTAGACTCAAACCAAATGCCAACTTCCTTCAATTCTCCTAGTCAATGTGATGGGGTAGGTAAGGAGGGGACTGTACCAGAATCCTTATTGAAAGAAGCTCGTAAAACCGGTTCACTGAACCTGTCAAACAGGTAGGAGGCTGTGTGAGACTTGTAATATAATTTTTTTAATTTACCAAAAATGATTGAAATGATTTTTTGTATTTTCATTTTTATGACGCATTAATGAACATGTGGATGTATGAAGTTAGTTGGTGAATGTGTATAATTACACGGGGCATTATGTGTTATTCCTCCTAAACTGTGTGGTGAGAAAGGAAGTTGTGATG